TGGTGTTTGCGGCGTTCTGGTGCCTTCCCGCTCCTCCCGTGCAGCACGCGCTGAAAACACCGCAAATACTAGCATTTTCTTGTCCCGGGCGCGGAGCACATCGCAAATAGCAGTGTTTTTTGCGTCACTTACGCACAACACTGCCAGGTACGCGTCAGCACTGCGCGCACGCCTGCCAAACGGTAAGCACGCCCGCTCACATGCACCCGCAGAGCGCGTCGCACACGCCTGCCAAATGGTAAGCACACCCCTGCAGAGCGCTGCGCACACGCCTGCCAATTTGTAAGCACACTTGCTCACGTGCACCCGCAGAGCGTTGCGCGCACGCCTGCCAAATAATTAGCACGCCCGCTCACATGCACCCGCGGAGCGCTCCGCACACGCCTGCCAAATGGTAAGCACGCCCGCTCACGTGCACCCGCAGAGCGCTGCGCACACGCCTGAAATGGTAAGCGCACCCGCTCACGTGCGCCCGCAGAGCGCTGCACACACGACTGCCAAACGGCAAGCGCACGCGCTCACGTGCACCCGCAGAGCGCTGCGCACACGTCTGCGAAATGGTAAGCACACCCGCTCACGTGCGCCCGCAGAGCGCTGCACACACGCTGCCAAATGGTAAGCACACCCGCTCACGTGCACCCGCACAGCGCCGCGCACATGCCTGCCAAATGGTAAGCACACGCGCTCACGTGCACCCGCACAGCGCATTGCGCACACGCCTGCCAAATCGTAAGCACACTCGCTCACAGAGCGCTACGCACACGCCTGCCAAATAGTAAGCGCGCTCGCTCACGTGCACCCGCAGAGCACCTCGCACACGCCTGCCAAATGGTAAGCACCCCCACTCACGTGCACCCACAGAGCGCTGCGCACACGCCTGCCAAATGGTAAGCGCACCCGCTCACGTGCACCCGCAGAGCGCTGCGCACACGACTGCCAAACGGCAAGCGCACGCGCTCACGTGCACCCGCAGAGCGCTGCGCACACGTCTGCGAAATGGTAAGCACACCCGCTCACGTGCACCCGCACAGCGCCGCGCACACGCCTGCCAAATGGTAAGCACACGCGCTCACGTGCACCCGGACAGCGCATTGCGCACACGCCTGCCAAATGGTAAGCACACCCGTTCACTGTGCGGGGGGGGGGACACAGAAACGCCTTTTGTTGGGAAGAGCAATGCTTTTGTTTGTCACAAAGTGTGGCAAAACACATGTGCTTTGTTGAAAACACCTTTTTCCAGGAAACTACCGGTTTTTCTGCAAGGGTTGTCGCAAACCCTCGAGTTTTGAAAAGCCAGGGTTGGCAAAAAGCTACGTGATGAGTGGAACAGCCAAAACACCGCTATTTGCGGTGTTGTTTGAAGGTTTGCTAGCTTGTCTCTTGATGGCTGCGGCGTTATGTCGGCTTGTTGTTGTTATTGTTGTTGTTGTTGTTGTTGTTGTTGTTGTTGTTGTTGTTGTTGTTGTTGTTGTTGTTGTTGTTGTTGTTGTTGTTACTGCTGCTGCTGCTGCTGCTGTTGTTGTTGTTGTTGTTGCTGTTGCTGTTGCTGTTGCTGTTGCTGTTGCTGTTGCTGTTGCTGTTGCTGTTGCTGTTGCTGTTGCTGCTGCTGCTGCTGCTGTTGCTGTTGCTGTTGCTGTTGCTGTTGCTGTTGCTGTTGCTGTTGCTGTTGCTGTTGCTGTTGCTGTTGCTGTTGCTGTTGCTGTTGTGGTGGTGGTTGGTGGTGGTTGGTGGTGGTGGTGGTGTTGGTGGTGGTGGTGGTTGTTTTTGTTGTGGTTGTGGTTGTGGTTGTGGTTGGGGTTGTGGTGGCCGTGGTGGTGGTGGTGGTGGTGGTGGTGGTGGTGGTGGTGGACGTGGTCGTGGTTGTCGTTGCCGTTGTCGTTGTCGTTGTTTACTTGGCGGCGGCCTTGAGCAAAAACAGGGAACCCGCACTCAGAGGCAGATCCATTTTTTTAGCCTCTACGCTGCTGTTACTATCAAGAACAGCCTGGGGTTTGACAAAACGGTCACCTTGTTTTAGGCACCCTATGGCATTTTTCAGACCAGAGTCGGGCTGCAAGTTGGTCCGTTTTGTTTTGGGTTGAGAACCCAGCTGCGACTCGCTGCCTTGCGTTTCTCGCCGGTGGCTCTTGCAGCCTTCCAAGGGAAAGGCTGTATGGCAATCCCAAATCCCGAATATTGGGCTACGAAAGATGTACACCCTCTGCGGAATAGCTTTCTCACAGCAAGTAAGGATTGAGATTGGCCAGCCTGCCGTTTTGGACAACCCAGAACATGAGCCTTGCCGTGGTTCCAATGGAACCACGGCGGCAACAGTGTAATTCATGGAATTTCTGGGATGGTTCCTGGTTAAGGCACAAATAAATTCAGGGACACAATATTTTATCAATCGTCCCCGGCCGCAAGCTACCGTTGCCGAACGCCAATACGCCGCGCTTGTTTTTCCACCAGGTTCCGACGTACCATCCAGGCGCGTAGACAGTGATTGTCCACAACCTTTGCAAACACTATCTCAGGGCACTTGCGGGCTTGCGGGGCAGTTTTGGCACTTGTGGAATGAGATACCTATGTTTCAAGAAGACTAGAGGAGCCATCTAGACAGTGGGGGTTCTGCCGAGAGAGGGACAAGGCCAACGACTGTCAAAGCTTCCACGCAAGTTGGCAGGGCAAGGCGGAATGATCCTCCCATGTTCGTCACCATGTGGCATACATGCAAGCAGGGGCCGGTCAAATCTTTGTTGGCGCCGCGAATTGCAGGCAAGTCGCGTGGACCCACCATTCACCACTTGTCCATCCGCTCCTTGCCCCTCCCCGGTTCCGGGGGGGGGGGGGATGTCCAGGAGGGGACGTGGCGGCCACGCGGCCTGCGACCTTTCTCCAGGACTAGAGGATCCCACTTTTGGTCGGGATTCACCATAAGGAAGCCGTTGCTATCTTCGGGGGCTCCAATTTTCGATCTAAGAAAGCATATTTTTCCGTGATACCAAGGGAGTTTCCCGAAGTGATAAAGCAGCCATGGACATTCCGCCTGGGCAGGTTAACGTGGGACTCAAGGGCGGTCTTCAAAAAGGCGATTCCTCTAACGATGTTTTTGCTTCACCTTCTGCGGGGGTGTGTCAAGTAATCCTTAATTCGTAGTTTGGATTTGAAACTAGAGCAGGTTTCTTTAGAAGCATGGGGGTTTTGGCCCCCCTTGGCGGTCCAAAGCAAACCACGGGGGGGAGCGTACCCGTGTTACCCTTGTTGCGAGGACCTGGACCTTTCCGAGGAGTCCTTTGCGGTGGTGGGCTTCTCCTTCGGCGGGCTCCTGGCGGCCACCCTGCAGGAGAGGCAGGTGAAGCCCAAAGCAGCTGGTACTGCTGTTGGTTGGGTTCTACTTGGTTTCATGGAAAGGGGGCTACAATATTGCTTGGTTTCTGTCGGGACTTTCGCGCCCCCTCGGTTTCATGGGGGTTGATTGTTTATGGCCATGATGGTGGAAGAAATGCTCTTTTGCCGTGTCCTCCGAGCCGTGGGCATCGCTTTTTCAATCGCTTAGACGACACCCGCCCTTTCGGATAGGGTCAGGTGATAAGAACATCGCCATAGGACAGTCCACCAAGAAAGTCGAGCTCTGAAGGATGCAGGTGCTTCCTTTTCATGAGCTAGCGTCTACGCAGCTCCCGATCAATGTGCAGTTACGGAAAGCCCACGTGCGTGCATGACATGGCCTTGTTGAAGCATAGCGTGGGTTTCGCATTTTGATCCTCAAACTTGACCTTTTTCCATTATTTCAGTTGCGCTTTGAAAAAGGAGATGCGGCCAGACAAGATAACCAAGTGTGTGCTGATTGCGCCGGCGATTGATAACTTCGAGAGGCGGGTGTGCCGGGTTGGTTTGCCACGGCTCGGTTGCAAGTGTTCTCTCATTGGATCCATGAGTCATGTTCCGCAAAAGAGGCGCCCCAAAACATGGTTTATGAGGGAATCCTCCGGAGATGAGGGTCATTTGGTGCTAATACTGTATCCTTTAAAGGACTCCTAGGGACTGTGAGACCATGTCAGCTTGCCAATGGCGCTTTCACCTCTCTCAGGCCATGGCTGGATAGAAGGCCTTTGGGGAAAGCAAAGTTTGTAGTATGTTGCTCAAATACAACATGTAGAAATGCTTGGCAAGATCATGTTAGCCTGCGCTTTTTCACATCAGACTTCTGTCGCCCCAAGCTGAGCAATTCCAAAGCGCGCACCCCATCCCTAAACCACGAGTCTAACAACCGAAACCCACCCAGAGCCCACCCGAAGCCTGAACCCACTCCAGTTCTGACTGCCTTGAACCGCTGACGCCAGGAATTTTGCAGCCAAACGCAAAGAGGACGCTTTTTCTGGTTCCGGTGGCACTTGGGCATGGCTTAAAAAGGATGTGCTGATTTCATTGCAGGCTCTCCCCGAGAGGCTGCCATTCAAACCCAAGGCCGCGCTGTGACTTCAACCCACATTGGCTTGGCAATCCAGGCCCCAGCGCAAGCACACGCACCCAGTCGGATCCGGCCATCATTCCAGCAGCCAGTTGTTCACCTTTTAGGGGGGGGACAAAAACGCATTCTCCTGACCAAGCAGAGCCCCCGTCCCCTTTGTGCTTGAAATCGCAGGACTGGCACCTGGCGGAGGAGTACGTGGCCGAGCTTCAAAAGCTGCCGGCCAGGCCCAGCATCAAGGCGCCGAGGGCCAGCACTGTGCTTTTGCCAGCGCAATAAATTCGTTCCCACAGATATATATATATATATATGTATATATGTGTGTGTATGTAAATATGTATATATATATATATACATACGCACATATAAATAAATAATTAATTAAATAACTCACTAAATAAATAAATAAATATATATATATATATGCATTTTCATCCCCACAGGCATAGAGGCATTTCTGTGCGTCGAAGAGTTCTTGGCTCCGGAAGATGTCATCTCTCCGCTCCGATTCCTCCCCTGCAAGCCTCCCTTGGATTCTTCCCCCTGTCCAACCCTGTGTGTGCACTTGGTTGCGGGCTGCTCGCCATTTGCTGTCATGGCGGCCAGTAGCTTCGAGTGGGACTTCCCCATATAAAGCTATCAATCAGCCAGGCGCTGATTGAAACGCCTGGGCTCCAAATTCCCATATTCCCAGAACTTTGGGGCGCACCCCCAAATGTTCCAATAGCAGCTGCATGGACCTGGCTGGTCGCTTGACAAACAAAGCCTCCCAGGTGCCCACCATGCTCATCCATGGCCTCAGCGAGACAGACGCGGACGGCTCTGCGGTATGGCGTGTGCGGGAGTGGGTGGACAAAGAGCCTTTTGGCCCCACCTACTTTCCGGAAGGCCGCAGGGTGCGGCAAGGGGATATTCAGGTAGATGTCTACCTTAGTTGGTTTGGATTGGTGGTGTGGGGGCTGGGAGCCTCTGGACGTAGGCTCACTCCTCAAATCACCACGGCCAGACCAGACCAGCCTTTACGAAGGGTATAGAACAAGCAGTCTAAGATCAAAGCCCAAATGTAGAACGGGCCCCTTCCTGTCGATCCAATCTCGCGAGGCAGCTTGAGCTGCCATCGCAATCATCGTCACAAGCATCACAGCCATCACAACCCTCACAACCATCACAGCCATCACAATCATCACAGCCATCACAGTTATCATAACTAACCACCACAGCCATCAAAGCCATCACAACCATCACAAGCATCACAGCCATCACAATCATCACAGCCATCACAGATATCATAACTAACCACCACAGCCATCAAAGCCATCACAA